TTATGAAAATTTTCTGTAGAAACATTTTGTTCACACCGTCTACACAAGCGAAATAGTTTTTGAATTAATCTAATCGGATGATCCGTTCTCTCAAAATTGCATGACCATTTTACACCCTTTGCGCTCCATACCTCCGAAACGGCCAGACATGGCTTTTATAAAAACGCCCTGCGGTCGAGTACGAACCGAATGTTTTTTTAATCATTCAAATCGGTTATTCCATACTGTCGAGGACATTTGTTTGAACCATATAAATGAAAGATAAAATTAAAAATGTTGGTACGGAACTCAAAAAATTGACACAAAATGTGCACACATTATTAAAATTTGTATAAAATACCTAATAATTTGATGTGCACTATATGTCTAATAATCATTTTTGACCGCCAAAAGGCATTTTTGTAACTTATTTTTATTGCGAGTCCATAACCGCAAGACCTGCCTTTCCAAAAATTTAATCAGTTCTCCATCTTGTCAATACAAGTAAAATGTTTTTTGAATAATTCAAATCGGACGCTAGGTTCTCTCAAAAACTGAATTACGATTTTTGGCTCTTTTTGACCCGTATCTTCGGAACGGCTAGACCTGCCGTTGCCAAAAACTAATCAGCACGTCTCCTTATCAATAAAAATCAAATATTTTTTGAATTATTCAAATCGGTTAAATTATGTTCCTGAAATCGACGGCGAAAATTTGTATTCGCACACTCACTTACACACACTCATACACACACACATACATCCATTTTTTCTAAGGTATGCCAGAATATTCAGAAACCTTTGAAACGTAAAGATATATACAAAATTTCGCTTTCGATTTTTTGGCGATTACTATAACTTGTCCTACGAGAAGTTAATAATGTTGTTACAATTTTGTTGGGTTCCGTACCAAGATTTTTAATTTTTAAAGTTCTCATAAACAGTTCAAACAAATTTCAAAATTTTCAGATTCTTTTTTTAAATTTCCAAAAATATACAAAGTTTTATACTTCAAATATAAATTTTAAATCTAGAATTCAGTTTAAAAATGTATATATTTTATATGCGTTTACTATGTATACTCGTAAGAACTATATCCTCAGATGGATTTATTCGGCACCTTTGGCTAATGTAAACATTCTCAAGTGTTTTGAGCAATAAGTTCGACACTGCATATTGTATAGACGATAAAATATATAGCAATTGTAATTATTTATTTGATAATGTTTAATACAATTATTATTAATCATTGATCAATATTTATAGATTACTAGTTTTTTTCTTCGAATATTTACTTCTGGTACGGGAAGTTCCAGTAATTTGTCTTAATACACGATGCCATACACCACTATTTATTTTTATAGGTTTTGACATTGGCCAGCAACGAACGTATCGCATTGACTCCACCCATGAGATTATTGTTTGAAATTTCGAATTTGCGAACAGCCACTCCTGCCACTGTGTCCAGGGCCGGAATATTGTACATCAATGCCGCTGACTTGGGCTGGAACCCGTAAGTAAAATTGGATAAAAAATACATGCATAAACACTAAAATTTATGGTATTTTCAGATACGTTTTATCCTGGATCGACACACGTTCTGGTCAATCCGAGCGCGCCAACTTGATCATCTTGTTCGACAAATATATCCCACCATGTCTAGAAGAAATGAAGAAACTGAAAAAAATCACACCCATTGTAGAAGTCGCACATATTCAGATGGTTTGCTACCTTTTGGACTACTTTTTGACACCCATCAATTTACCGGCCGATGCACCTAAAGACTGGTAATACGTAATACAAATTTAAGGGGCACACCTAGTGTGAAATTTTCAAAAATCGAATTTTATTTTTTTCCATATTTCGATAGGTTATACCTTTAAAAATAGCATACTAAAGTTTTAAAT